CATGGCAGACGGGAAGCGGCGCGGACAAACCCCCGCTCCCAGCGTTCCTGCCGAGAAACGCCGCTCCCGGCGTGCCTCGGGGCCGGGCGGCCCGCCGCAGCGCGGGCACCTCCGGTCCGCGGGCATCCCTAAGGGCGGGCTTTGCTGTGCGGCACCAGCCCCGAATACAAAATGGGGATCGCCGCCTCAACAACAGCGCTTCGTTTTCGGCATCTTCCTCACAGCTGCACAGTGACACGCTCCAGCTTCGGCAATGCTTTGGGAGAAACGGCAGGAGTAACAACAACTGGGAATGTTTGCTTCTCTTTCCAACTTCTAAGCTGTTCTATTACATGCGCTTTTCCATGTATTTTTCCAAAACGTGGGCTGAAAATACATGTCGTTTCCAATCTGGTTATTCAAAGGTTAATTTCGGAGAAGTCTGCATAAAACAACGTGAAGTTCCACCTTATGTCAAAACTCACTATTCAATTATACTTAAATGAATTATTACTGTGCTACTGAAGACCAACATCGGTTATAAAATATTAATAAACATAACCATTCAGATTATCATTAAGCTAATAGGATGCAGCTTCCTAATAAGGCATGGTTTAAAACATATCATGTATATGCACATTTGAATAGATCATATTAAACAGATTATATAACTACATCCCTAATTTCCATTTTAAAAAGACTTCAGTACCACTGGTTTTTTATACCTATAATCACCCAAAAAGCCAATTTGCTTATTCGTTGCTCTGTGTGCTATAGGAAGGAAATGTATTCAGACCTAAGATGAAAAATTTTGCTGCTTGGAACTGTTTTATGTTTCCCTTGGATGCACCCACTTGCACCGAAAAGTCATTCTTTATTCTCAAGTTTGCTTTGTTTTGACAACTTTCCTAACCTATTTTATATCTGAGCAAGTCCAGCTCTGCTGTAAATGCTTTAAAACCCACTGTGTTCAGAGTTTCTTTCTTCCCAGCTACTGCCATTCCACAGGGTTAAAGAAAGGTAAAAACTTGGTATTTGGCACACATAACATCAGCGGGGTTTGGTGAGGTAAATACTCCAAAAGACTGAAAACGAGACCGATTATCAGGATGATTCGGATCAAACCTCATCAGCACATGAATGACAACTCACTGCTTGTTTGGATCTCAGGTCTGATGCTGGCTCTGCTCTATCCCCTGGGACAGAAGGCAAGGCAGAGAGATTAAAAGGCTCTTCCAGAGGACAGGACCCACCCCAGAGCTGATCCAGTCTA